AGGTTTAATTCAAAAACTCAATTCGCAAGGCAAAAAGGGGGTGAGCAAAAAGAGAGGACTTCTCGGACAAGTGTCCCCTGCTCAGAGGCGTGCAGGATCTCACAGGGACACACTGTACACACACACACACAGGCCAACCGAGAGCGGCTGCCTCTCAAAAAAACCACGGCGAGTCGGGGTTGGTGCAAACTGCAAGGGGCGCAAGGGTTCAAATGAACCAATTTCTCAGATGAGCTAAACGGCCAATTTTTCTTTCGAAACAGAGTTTGGTGGTTAGTCTAGATGACATGGGGGCTTTGTTTTTGAAGAAGTGCAGCCACTACGAGCCATGATTAATTGCCAAGCAAAACAAACAGAAAACAAAGGACAGACCAGAAAATGAGCACCAAGGGCACACAGGAGGAGGGGACAGAGCAAGCAGAGTGGAGACGGGAGCTGAGACTGGGCAAATACACAAAAGGCCACCTCCGTGGGATGGTCCCAGTTCACTGGGTGGGTTGTTGTTTCTGTCCAGGCTGTGGTCTGAGTACGGCACAGGGTTCCCATTATCAAAGGCCCCCGGGCAGTCCTCTGGGACCGCGGGTCTCTCCTGAGGGGGCTCTGCGGTCCGGCCCAGCCTGGCCATGGTGTGTCGGGAAGACAGGCGCTTGGGCACCGAGGGCTTCCCCCCGGCGCGGGGCTCGTCCTGCTGGGGCTGACCGGGGAGGTCTGGCTTCCGGCCCGCCAGGGGGCCCGAGAAGTCCCCGGGGGCAGGCTGCCTGGGGTGGTGCTGGAGGGGCTTTTTCAGCCGGAAGGGGAGGGGGCTCATCAGGTAGATGTTCCTGAGGAGCGCGCTGCGGTCCCCTCTGCAGTCCGGGCGCCAGTCGGGCTGCCGGGAGGCCTGCTGCTCGTGCTTGCGGATGGTGGTGAAGCGGGTGTAGGAGGCCGGGCAGGTGCCCTTGCACTTGTTGAGGCGGTGTTTGGGGAAGTCTCCGTGAACGCTGCCGCCGCTGCCCTCCCTGCTGTCACTGGAGACGTTGGAGCAGTGGTCAAGCTCGTCGGAGCAGGTGGAGAGGGGCTCAGAGGGCGCCAGGCCCCTGAACCCCAAGGGGGAGTCCACCATGCGGCTGCACGTGGGGGAGGCATAGACCCCCCCGGGGTTCATCCCGTCCACCTCCCGGGGCCGGAGCTTGGTGGACTCCAGGAGGGACTCGGCGGAGCGGGCTGCGGTCAGGCCGCTCCGGGACAGCACGGGCGTGGGGGACTTGCTCAGCCTGCCCGACAGGTCCAGGGACGGCATGGACCGTGACCGCTGGATCAGCTGCTCAAAGGCCGTGATGCGGGAGGAGACGGTGTGCTTGGGGATGTGCTCCGAGCCCTCCTGGCTGGGGCCCAGCTCGCCCCTGGCCAGGGCCAGGCTGCTCCTCTCGAAATGGGAGGCGAGGTCCCGCACGCTGGAGGAGGAGGCAGAGCCCAGGAAGAGGCCGGCTCGGTTGATCTGGTGCATGTCCCGGTAGAGCATGGTGAACTGCATCCCCGCCTTCCTGGAGAGCGGGCAGGGCCTCCTGGCGCTGGAGCCGTACTCCTGCAGGCTCAGGGTGCTGCTCGACTTGCTGTCGTAATCCCGCCGGGAGCGCATGAGCAGGTTCTCGATGCTCCCACCCACCTGGAGGGGGAGCCCTCTCTTGGAACCGTTCAAAGAAACGGAAACACAAAGGTTCTCACAGCTCTGAGCCTTTTCTGATGGCAACAGGACACTCTTCTGTTCCTGCAAAAGAGCGCTGGGAGCGGAGAGCCTGGGCTTGAACTTGGAGGGGAGGATTTCTGAAATGCAGGCTTTTGCAGCAGACAGGGGTTTCTTGTGCTTACACACAGGGCCTAAGGCATTGCTAGTGTTAACCGTTCGGCTATGAACTGAAGATGAAGAAATCATGTGAGCATTCCCACCTTTATGATCCACTGGAAAGCATGCAGAATAAAATAAACAGACCCATTAGGTTAAAGCTGAAAGCTGCTAAAAAAAAGGGAGAGGTAACATGCTCATTTGTCATAAGGTGTTTTTATTTTAAATTTCCAGTCGATGTCCAGAAGCAAAATAATCTGTGCTGCAAAGCAGGTGCAAAATGCAACGAAAAAATGGCCACCTTGCTAGTCAGGAAAGGCTAAAGCTCAGCTAGTTTCTAAGAAAAGGGAATCAGAACAAAAGAGAGAGAGAGAGAGATGCTTCAGGGAGAGCAAGGCCGGGGATTAAAGGAAGGAGAACTATTAATACCAGAAAGAAAAATGGCCGGTGAGAAACGAGGGGAGGGGACTAGGACGGCTCAAAGGCCTGGAAGTGGACCCGCACAAGACAAAAGTGATTCCAGTAGCTGGAGGTTCACCCCTGCCAACACCCCGGTGACAGTGTGGACGGGAGAGACACCCGATGAGGCAGACAGGCGAGAGGCCTGCAGGCTTCGCAGGGTTACCTTTCGTGGAGGCCGAGCTGGACGGGCGCTTGAGCCCACTGAGGCCCTGGAGAGGGATGTCTCCACCTTCCAGGACGCTTTTATAAATCTGCCTCTCATTCTCCAGGCTCCCGAGGTCGCCGGGAGCCCCATCGGATTCCCTCTTCACTGCGTGGAAGTTGGAAGAATATATACTAAGAACAATGTAATTTTAAAAGGAAGAGAGAAGAGGGGGGAGAAAAAGAATAGGAGTTAGTATTTTAACATTTGTCTAAAAGGTACATTTCCAGCTGAGGGTAAGAAACACACTTTCCGGCTTTCTAATCAAGTACCGCCCTTTCTAAGGAGCATTCCTATGCAGAGGTCAAGTTCGACAGGCAAGGCAGGCTCACAGGAGCCCCTTGTCCAGATAGCGAACTGCCCTAATTGAATGACTGATTTGTGCTTTCGCAGAATAACTGAGAAACACGGCTGGGGCAGGGGGTAGGAGATAAGATTAGGAGGTGGGGAGGGCAGGGCAAGAGATGCTGGGGCCCAGGTGCTGCACACAGGATGGGGCAGTCACGAATATAGTTGGAGGCCGGCTGGCATGGCTCAGTGGTTGACTATCGATCTATGGACCAGAACGTCACGGTTCGATTCCCAGTCAGGGCACATTGGGTTGTGGGCTCGATCTCCAGTGCGAGGCATGTAGGAGGCAGCTGATCAATGATTCTCTCATCATTGATGTGTCTCTCCCTCTCTCTCCCTCCCTCCCTCCCTGAAATCAATAAAATATATGTATGTATAAAAATAACGTAAGTGGAGCCTCCGACCAGTGTTGGCAACTTTAAGTCCAACTTAAAGTTGGCCTTAGATTTCTGGGTTATTTTTCTTTGGCCAATGAAGCATTAAAATCAACCATGAAAAGTGGAGGCCCAGCTGGGGCTCCAGGACAGTCAGCCACCAAGTGAAAGGGAACCTGGGTTCTCCATGCTTTCACGGTGCCAGCCACCTCTGCACCCACTGCTTTCAAGATTCATACTCAGAACATGATGCCATGTTATGAGGCTCACCTATCGATACATCCTTCACTCACTGACACAGCCTTCACTTACTTTTATCTTGTTGAAGTCCTGGGTATTTTTGCAAGTTCCCACAAATCCTTTTTGGAATGAGGTGGGCCCCAGGAAGGATGAAGAACACTCACACTGAACCGCCCCTTCCCGAGGCCCAGTGTCCTGCGCCCTTGCCCGCGGACACACTGACAGGTGGATGCACAGGCACAGATAGGGAAGGACTCCTTCCCCGTAGACGTGCCCAGGCCTTGGCCAGGCTGCTGCTTGGTCCTACTGAGCTCCGTTTGCTGGAATTCTCAGCTCTAAAGATGTCAACAGCTCGGTGGATGCTTCATCCCAGTATTTTATTATGAATATTATCACGTGCACAGAAATGCTTAAGGAGCTGTAACAGTGAACACCGATGTGCCTGCTCCCCGCCCCCCCCCCCAAGGTCCACTGGGCTGCATCTGCTTTATCCACATCTGTCCCCTGCCTTCCCTTTCCCCAGCGATCACAACAGAATTCCTCTGATCCTCACAAACAACCCCACTCCTCCCTTGTCCAGAGGGGGAGCCCCACATGGAGTCGGAGTGGGCGAGGTTTAGTGGAACGGGAGGGCTGGACCCTGAGCCAGGACACGCAGCGCCACACGGAGCTCTCAGCCGCTGTTCTAGAACATCTCCCCACGACCGTGGAGGCAGTGCCCACCCCGCCCCCCGCGCCCAGGCTCGCACACCACGGAAATGGAATCTAAGGGAAAAGAGAATCAACCCTCACAGCTGAGAACATACAGGCAGGCGGCGGAGTGAGCCCACAGAGCAGCCCCGGCCGTCTCTCCCCAGGCCGTGCCCTGGTTTCTAAGAGCCCACAGGACTATAGGGCCCATGAGGACACTCAGCATGTATTTGCTGAATGAATAAAAGGTCACATTCTCTGAAAGCAAATTTGGCCCATGTGATCTGATTAAGAATATGTTTTGAACCATAGCGAGGGGGAGGGTCCCGGGTTCAATTCTGGTGTCAATCCCTGGCCCTGGTTAGGGTGCATGCGGGAGGCAACCAGTCAATGTTTAGTTTCTCTCTGTCTCTCCCTCTCCCTTCCATTCTCTCTAAAAAATGGAAAAATATCCCCAGGTTATTAACAACAATAACAACAAAGAATATGGTTTGATTTGTGAAACGTACTTAGGAATTCTTCCGCAAGTGTAAGAACTATGTCACATTTACTTGGGGCTCTGAGCTACTGACGTCAGTAACCTCAGGCCGTCGGAGCAGTGGAGAGAGTAGGGCTGCAGGATCAGGTGGCCGGTGGCCTGGGCTCAGGCTGGCTGTCCTTCCTGGTGCCAGGGCCCTGCCTGGAGGCCTACTCCCACCTGGAGACAAAAAGGCGTGGCTTTCCCAGGCGAAGGGGCCGGGCAAGGGACAGGGCTGCCACCGACACAGCTCTGGGCTCTCCGGCTTCTGCCTGCAGGGCATTCACAGATGTCCCCGGTTCTGACTGACCAAAGCCACTCACTCTAGTTGGAGGGGTGGGGGCCTTCAGGAGACTAGCAAGCTGTCCATGCCGGTTTAGACCAGTACAAGTCATCTAACCTAGCGTTCCCTTTGAACTTCCTGATTGAAAAGAAATCTGCCTCTTTTCGAAACTTCCCTTTCGCCATCCACCCTCTCTTTTTGGCTGCAGTTCCTGATTTTGTCCTTCAGCTGAAGCCCGTGTCTCCTCTGTCCATTCCATCTGCAGAGAGACCCATGGACAGGCGTCCTTCAGGCCTGCCAACCAACAGCTGTGGGACCGAGGTCGCTTTTGTGAGAGGAGCACCTCCAAAGCTCTGGTTTGGGGCGACCAGACCTCAGCACAGAGCGACTCTGACAGTGGCTTCCACCCCGCTGTCCTTAAACTGCCGTGGCCTCAGCCAGAACGACCGACCCATCTCCCCTCGTTCCTCCTAACTTCTCGGCCATGACACCAGCTGCGGACCTCACACCTCCCCCTCCCCTACCTCACCCGCTGTCAGAACTCACCCCGCCCCCAACGCCACCCCACTTTCTGGCTTTATTCCACCCATTATCACCATTTTTTCCTGCTTCCCACCAGAACGACAAGCCTGAAGCCCTCAGGAAACCTCTCAGGATGGGCTTGCTATGGCCAATTGTTTTCTTTCTGATACCGAAGCCGACATACTTTTTCCAGATGTGTGACACTTTTGCAACTTGTTTAAAAACAATGTCTAAAAGCTCCAGTACAGCCTTTCTAAGTGAATTATCTTCCCCAGGCCTCCTCATTGGAAAGACAGACACCATTTGTCCATTGTACCAAAGGGGAAACTGAGGACCAGAGCGGTGAAGGCCTCTGTCAAAGGTCACAGTACTGTTGGGTCTTTGCTGTGTTCAAACAGACCAGAGAGGGTGAGAACAGTACCCTCGGTCTGGCCGAGAAAGACCAGAGTCACCGATTCCGCACCAAAACAAGCCAGGCTCAGAAGCTCGGCGGAGCCAGTTTTGGGCTGAGGAAGAGCAGGCCAGCAGGAGGCAGTGACAAGAACGGACCCCCTGGCTAAGAGGCAGTGCTGGCTGCTGAGTTAAGGGGATTCAACAGAAACTCACTCGAAGAGTAAAGTGAGAGAACAGAGCAATCATTTTAGGGCCGATGTTTCCAATGTGCTAGCTGGCCGGGTCGGGATTCCAGCCTGACTCCAACAGGCAATGTGATCAGTGGAGGCAAACCCGCTCACTTTAAAAACTTGGAGACAATCTGTTTCTCTCAGCTTCAATTTCCTTCATCTACAAAACTATTAGGTGTGGTGAGACTGTCCAAAAAGTCCACCTTCAAATCCCTTATCTACAAAGACATTCCTTTTGACCTCCAGATACATACACTCAACTGCCTTCTAGAAGCTCCACTTAGATGTTCCTCAGGCATCTTAAACCCAACACATCCCAAACCAAACCCAGCTCTGTTCCTCCACCTCCCATCACCCAAGCCGGAGAGCCCAGAAAATCAACCCCTTCTCCCTCTCCTTGCCCAGCAAACTTCACGAGTCAGCACGCTTTGCTTACTCCGTCCCGACACAGCTCACATCAATCCCTTCCGTCTCTACCTCCCTGGACCCACCTCCCACCACTCACCCACACCTGTGCAAACAGCACACCACCGCTCCCCCAGGCTCCACCCCATTCCCCTCCAGTCACTGCAAACTACTGCCAGCGATATTTCTAGAAAAGATCTCACCATGTCATTCCATGGCTCATTTTATTTATTCAACAAGTATTTATTGGACACCTACTACATGTCAATCAGTCTCTCAGGTAGAGATTCAATAAGGAACAAAACAGACAAAAAGTTCCAGCCTCATGGAATCCACTGTTCAGAACCATTTAGTGTTTTCAGGAAGAAACAAAAAGAAACAGTTTTCAACTGGCTATGGGAGAGGGCGTCTAGACAATTTGGGGAGGGCAGTTCATCTTCTAGCCTTTCATAGCATGAAAAAAAATTTACCTTTTCTATTTGTAATATAATGTTATTATTATTATTCACTTTTTATTTGCGGCTCCTCTGTAAAGCGTACCTTTCTTCCTCCACGAAACAGAGGTGTTCCTCTGCTCCTGATCCCATCACTGCCTGTCCCGCACTGGATTCTGATGGTTGTTTACAAGTCTGCCTCCCATTACACTTGGTTTTTCCCTTGAGGGAGGCAGTTCAACTGATTAACCTTTGCACAGCTAGTGTCTAGCACCTTTGTTCAATAAATATTAGTGGAATAAATGATTCTATAAAATTAAATGCCTACACGCACACAGATTTATGATACATTTTCAAGCCCTGGAAGTTTCTAATATTTCATCAAGTTCTCCAGGCAATGATTTGTGTTTTGATCTTAAGTTAGATTAAGGGAAAAGGGTGCTTTTTCTAGCGCACCATCACCACTTAGGAAAGCAGCAGCTTGAGTGCCACCTGCTGGCCAACTAGAGTAAAGCTCTTTGGTTAGGCAAAGACTGTATTCAAACTAACCAATGCTGAAATGCTAAGCAATGATGAAGAGTAGGCCACACTGTTGATTTATAGGTCTGGTAATTCCACAGAAATAAAATACAAAATTTGGCATACACTGTGATCACAACTATAAAAATATATTTTTTGAGAGGAAGGACTGGTAGATTGTATTAGGATATTAGAACAATGGGTGAATTTTTTCCTCTCTGTTCCCAAGTTCTTTTAATATTGTGATATGTAATCAACTTAATTAATAAAATTCTAAACTAAAGTCTCTCCAAGATATTAAAGTGGATTCAAAACAACACCATCACTTCCCCACTGACCACAGAGTCCTGCACCTGGGCCATTGTGGTTCCTCTTTCTTCAGTCCTTGGGTTAAGTCAAGTCTTTGCCAATGTTTCTTTCAGCAGGTCATTCCTGTCCATTGAGTGAAGGGAACCAGATTTAATCCACAAGTTTCCGGCCTTGGTGCTGAGTTGGATTTTAGTTAATTAAGATGTTTTCATTTATTCAGCAAACATTTAGTGTGCACTTTCCTATGCGTCAGGCACTGCACTTAAGCTGGCTCCTCACCAATTCCAAACACAGAAAAACCTTATTCATTTGAACAAACTGGGAGAAAACCAAGCCCGAATTTCTGATAAATTCCCAAATGGTAGAATAGCAAGAGGAAACAAACCTCACCTATCCCTGCCACATATTTCCCGTGAGCTAGGGTAAGGCTGAAAAAAAAACCAGAGGTCTTTGAAGACCTGTTCCGATGATATAAATAAGAGTGCCGGGTAAACGAACACATCAGATAGCTTTATGCACATGAGTCCTCAGAGTCTGACAGCAATTTGCTCTTTTCGGCAGTTTGCATTAGGCCCCTCGATCCTGCTAACACAATATTACAAATAGTTGCTTAAATGGTTTTTTCAATCATTTGAAGGACAGTAAGTTATAGGATGCTTTCTATTAGTTTATTATCAGTATGGTGCAATGGGAGCGCCTGCCAACACCAGTGCCCTGGCCGAGAACGTGACTGCTAGTCTGGTCTGCGGAGGAACAACTCCACCACACGCCAGCTGCAGAGCCGTGGCTGTTACACTCCTGCTTCCTCACCTGTAAAATGCGGATTAAAAAGAATGCCTGGTCCTGGGATGTTGCAAGGACTAACTGAGGTGAAGTACGGAAGCTGCTAAGCATAGGGCCTGGCACATAGTAAATGCTGAGTAAGTCGTTCAAGTCACCACTTCACTTAAGACCTGTGTGCCTAACTCTGACAGGCTGGGCACTGCTGTCTTTTTCTGAATATTCTTAATCCTTAAAGTCTGCTTCAATCATGTGCCACTTTTCTATCTTTCTTTAAAAAATATTTTTATTGATTTCAGAGAGGAAGGGAGAGGGAGATAGAAACATCAGAAATGAGAGAGAATCACTGATTGGCTGCCTCCTTCACGCCCCCTACTGGGGACCGAGCCCGCAACCTGGGCATGTGCCCTTGACCGAAATTGAACCCGGGACCCTTCAGTCTGCAGGCCGACATTCTATCCACTGAGCCAAAGTAGCTAGGGCCCACTTTGCCTTCTTATTTACTAACATTCCTTTTTTTTGTTTGTTTTACCCCCAAAACTACTAAGGGACAATTATGCTCCTATTTATTACGTAGCATAGTGCCTTGGTCCAGGGAAGCTAAGGAATTCACTCAGCTGGCCACCTGAAACAGCCTTTTTTGTCTGTGCATTTCAGGGAGATGGATGGGGCGAGGGGGCAGAGGGGGAGACCAGGCAGCAGGCTTACGTTATGCAATCCTGGGAACGGCGGGGCAGGGAGAGATCTGGTCCAACCAGGCTTTGGGCAGTCAGGACCCCCAAAGTGACAAGCTTTGTTGCTGACCAATGGGTCACCTGAGGGACCAGTTTGCTGGGAGCTGTGGCCTTGAAGCAGCCCTTCATCTGCAGATAGCCTGAGGCCGTCTGTGGGTTCATTTCTGGGACCTGGAGGACCTGGGGCTGGTCATCCTTGGGCTGAAGGGATAGTTCAACTATCTCCTTAAAACAGAGTGAACCTCAGAGCCCAAGGTGGAGGGGCGGGGGGAGCGGGGGCAGCCTGATGATATAGCTGAACTCGGATTCCTCTCTGTCACACCGGTGGCCAGACGACCAACCCAACAGTGAGTGCAAGAGACGATACCGACCTGCTCCAAGACGGAGCTGTCCTTTCAGACAGGAAACTTTCCTTCTAACTGCTGTCCTAATACATCGTTTCAACTTCTTCTCAGACTCTGGGGTCTGTTAATCATAGCCATTAATATACACATTTATAGAAGAAATATTAATAGAATAGATCTGGCTAGAGATTTGGTCACTACCCTAAGAGGATGAAGGGTTTTTTCCAATTTTCTAGTGAAATACTCCAATCACAGCTAATCGACTTTCAAGTGAAACCACTCTTGCAAAATGCCCAAATGACCATAGGTTTGTCACACATGTCCATAAACTCAGCGTTCAGATCAAGTCAGGCTTCTGTCTGCACAGGCGAGCTTGTCTCACTGTGGATCTGCCCGACCCAAATGGAACCGGTAATAGCTGTGCCTCCCCTTCTGGTCATGCTTTGAAGAATAAGATACAGACACAGCGGTGATGAGGTGAGGAGCTGCTCCCACCAGAACAAACTCCCACACCTATGGGTGCACCTGGCGTGATGGAGATGCAGTCCTCGCTCCCAAGGAGTTTACAGTTTACTAGAGGCCCGATGCACGAAATGTGTGCAAGGGGCTTGGCCCTCGCAGCCCCAGCGTGGTCCGGAAGGTCGTCCGGCTGTCCGGTCTAATTAGCATATTACGCTTTTATTATCATAGATTAGAGTTATCCAAACATAGAAGGAAAAAAATGGAAGACCAGAACTGAATTGCTACTTATCACCAAACTGTACATCATTCAAAGCCACTAGACTGCTGCCTATAACACACACTTAGGTCCAAATCGTAAGTTTCTCCCGCTTAGACATTCCATACAGTGAGCCTAGAAACAAGGTGGCAACTTACTATCCAGGAGGCTCTGAAGACATTTCCGGAGTGGGGCTGACTGCTGAGCTCTGCAAATGTCAAAAAGAGAAAGAAAGAAAAGTGAACATGATTTATTTTGACTCAGATGTTTCAAGCCAAGGGGCGTCCCTGTCCCTTCGCTTCCTAATGTAGCCAGGGCCTCTGGGAGGAGGGGGCCTGGCTGGAAAGGTCTCGGGGCCGGGAGGGAGGGGCCCTCTTTGTCTCTGGTCTTGACCTCCCGGTGGCTGCATCGAGGCTCCCTGGGTGGGTCAGGAGATGGCCGCCTGGGCCCTCTGGAGGACAGGCCCACCATTTGGCCAACATGCATTGACAGAGCACCCCCTCCCCCAGCGTGCCCCGGCCTTCCGACCCCCTGCCAACCCCCTGCAGACTCCTTCATGCGCCCCAGATGCCACATCCAGAGAGAGGGCCACCCGAAACATTAGGTGCAGAATGCACAAAAACACATTTTAAAAGACCACACTGGGTTTAGTTGTTTGTCTGCCCCCGCAGACTTAGACGTGCAAAAAGGGGGAGAAATGCAGATTTACAGAAGCTATTAATGGCCACCTCAGCCTCAGTGGGAAACACTTTATAAGATTACAGACCACGGTGCAAAAGGAGGAAAACAATCGGGAGCTACATGCAGAGAAAAAGCAACACACTGTGTAGTTTACTTAGGGTTTCTGTTATCTTGGAGAGAAACAGGCAAAGGGTTCAATATACTGGCTCTTAAAAATAATGTGGTGGTTGAATAAATCAGTGAAAAAGTTAACTTTCAAAGATATTCCTAGCTCTAATACTGACCATTTCAAGGAAAACAAACTACCTGGAGGAGAGATATTTGAGGAAAGGAAACACCAGGAAAAAAGAGAGAGACTGTGCAGGAAGGAGGTAACCTTCCTCAGGGGCTCAGCCACCTGGCCCTCTGCCTGCTGGTCCTGGCATTTCTGAGGGCACCTCCACCCCAGGAGGTCCCCGCCCTCCCTCCTCCCATTACTCCTCAGAGAAGGCAGCCCTCTTACCTGCACGTCCGTCTGTCCGTCCGTCCGTCCAGCCCTTTGCCTGCACTGGTCTCCCTGCCCACCCTTCCTCCTTGAGCCTGTCCTTTGGCTTCTGCCCCGCTCTGCCCCGGTCTCCAATGGGGAAAAGTGTTTGCCGACCCTGCTGAGCCCTCTGGGCACACCTCCCTCGCCTTCTTCCCGTGATCACATTTTTAATCAGTGTGTACCCCCGGGGATTCCAGTTCCTCTCCACATGCTCCAGCTCCCGTCCACCACTCAGCAGCCTCCAAAGCTTTTAGAAACCTCTGGATTATCAAACCCATTGGCCTTTCCTCAGAGTCGGGGTGGGGACCTCTCTGGAGCACTGGGTCACGCTCAGACTGCTCCTCTCGCTCCACCTCTCATCTTTCCTCCTCCGTCTCGGGAATGCTCTCTCTCTGACCTCCCCTTGCTCTCCTGCTGCCACCAACATCCCAACAGGTCCTTATGGATCTTTCATCCTTTCAACAGGATCCTCCCTTCAATCTTTCATCTTCCCCAGGTGGGGTGTCTTCATCTGTTCCCGGACGTCAACCATCACCTCTCTTCAGGGGACTGCAACTGCCTTTGTAAGCCTCTGCCCGTCTCACAGAACCTAGTCTTACATTTCAAACTGTCAGCTGCATATCCCCTATGTGATACCCAACCAACATTCAAAACAAATGACCTAAAACCAAATCCTTCATCTAACCTCTGCGCCGACTTTCTCCCCATCTTTCTTATGTGACGTACTGATGTCCCCACGGCTCCCTCTGTCTGGACCAAGGGCTCACTTGTCTGTTTCCATCCTGTCCCCCAGTGGCCGCAGCTGTAACCCCCGCTTCCGCTCCTTCCCTGGGCTACGTCCCTGGCACTCACATGACCTTTGGTGCCTCGTCACTCACGCTGGTGGTCTGACCCTCCTTGCTTTCCTAGCTCCGCTCACAACCTCCACGCTCCCCACCGTGGTCTGCGGACCCTCCCAGCCTTGAGCAGTGCCCACATTCCTCTCCTATTTGATGTAAAGATCCCCTTTCCTTCAAGGGTCTCTCTTGTTTCTCCAAGGAGCCCTAGGAGCAGATCTCCAAACACTGGGTATTTTCCTTCCGCTGGGGGCCCATTTACCTTGGACTCCCTCTCTTCCTGACCCAGCCTTTAATAACCACGCTTTGACACCGCTCCACTTAAAAATACCAGTGCAGGCCGAGTTTCAAATGCTTGCCTGTGGCCCGGCGGTCTGGCCCCTGGAGTGCATTTTTTCATTGAGAACTTTCTGACCTTTCAAACCACACGCAGGGCTGCTCTGGCAGCGCCTGCACTTAGTAAGCAGCGCTCGAATCGCTGCCACTCTTTGGAGAACGATCTCCGAGGCCGGCGCCTCCCAAGGCTGCAAAAATGACAGCTGCCAAACACGGCTCCCTGAGCACCCCGAGAAGGCGTTCCAAGGCGAAGGCAGGAAAGGAAGAGGGCCGCCCCTGACAGCAGAGGAGAGGGGGAGCATGGATATCACCAGCCACCCCACGGATACCTGGAAAGCCCCCTTTAAAGAAGATGCCAAGCTCCAAAGAAACCAAAGCAAAACTGAAGTTGGGGGAAGGGGATGGGAAACAGCAGCCAGAAAGCCATGCAACTTCACAGTAATCAGCGAGACAGTCCCCTCCTCAGCGACATCCCAAACCGCAGAGCCAAGAAGACAGAACCGCGCCGGGACAGGCATTGACGGCAGGAGGAAGACTCAGAAGTACCTGCGCCAGGTCTGCACGGGCGGCTTTACTAAGCGTCTCCGTTTTTCCTACATCTGCCTCTAACTCTGTGTGGCAGAGGGTGGGCTCTGTTTCTAGGTTAGTCTGGCACGAGAAAGAAAAGATGAGAAAGAGGGTTTTAGTTTAGGCGACAGGCAGAGAGAATGGAAGGTTAAGTTTGAAAAGTGAATCTTCTTAGGGTTCTATTTTAATAATGCAGAGATGGCAAGATTAAACAAAGAGCTCACTGGAAATTACCAAAAGCCACGAGAACAGAGAATGCAGCGTTAGGCATGGAAAATATAAGCCCCACGGTAATCAGAGCTTCAAAACTCTCTTCTCCTGGCTACAGAGAACTACAAATACCACAACACCTGCCGGGAGGAAATACCTACTGTCTCTCTTTTCAGTCTGGTGACTGACAAATACTACATGTCAGAGTAAGTCATTGCTTAAAAAGCACACACACCTCTATACAGCAGTCTATATCTCAGAGACTTTGTTAAATAGATTTATCACCAAGCAAAAAAAAAAAAAAGTTATCAAGTTAAAAAAACAGTGATTGAAGAAAATAAGAGCAAAACCCCACAGCACACTCACACTAACCAGGCCAGGAGCACACACACAGCCCCCGGAGAGGCACGCATTACCTTTCTATCCTCTCTAGGAAGGATAGAGCAGTCTCCAGGAGTATAATCCCATATCTTTTTGGGAGGCTGATGGGAAGCAGAGGAGGAAATGGAGAAATGAGCATAAAGACAGACACGGAGACCGGCTCACACAAAGAGGGGCACACCAGGAGGACTCATCAACAGGGAGCTAAGCACGGGCGTGGGTGCTAACTGGGAGCTTCCTTTCTACGTTTCTGTCTCAAGAGCAGATCATGGTTGGAGTCCAAATATTGCAAACTTAAAAGACACAAAGAAAAAAAAAAGCATTAACACCAATTTGAACAAAAATCGAAACCTTCAAAATTCCCCATTGTTGTTTTCAAACTAAGATGGCCACTGAGAGCCCGCATTTCTGAAGCAGGCTTCTCCACCGTGAAACTCATTGCTCCTCAATGTGGCAATCTGGAGCTTTGGCCAGTGGAGGGTAAATTGCACTGAATGTGTTTTCTGTGGTTTGTGGCAAGTGTACCAGATGGGTGTTAAGTTTCCCACGGTGTGACTAGGCAATTTTAATCATCGTTCCCTGCTTGCTTAGACATTAACACTGCTAGTGGTAGAGCCATACCTTCCATCTCCCTTAGAGAACAGAGTTCTACTTTGCATTTAAACAGCGGACTGTAAGGCTATTTTTGTTTTTTCCTTTAACTCTTCACGATAGAATTAGGGTACACTGCTAAAACAGAAATCTGCCAGGAGAACCGTTGTAACGTTTAGTGAGGGAGGGGTTCGAACGTAGGACACTGGAAGTTACAAGCTACTCTGCCCCCAGGTGAACCGTCTGTTCTGTCCACTTAGACTTGAAATTTCTCATACAGCTCCCCCTCCCCTCTGCTGTCACTTAATAGCTCCTGGAATATTGTAATTATATTCATTATAACCAATTAGGGAAGCTTATTCAAATTGGTTTACATTGTGACATTTTGCCGTGAGCTTACTTATAGAAATCACATCAATTTCTGTAGAAGTTGGGGGGGAGAGGGGGGTACGGGGGGGGGGAGGGGGGGTGTGAAGCTGACACCCAGGCTCTTAGTAATACATTTGCAAATGAAAAGTAATCTGATTTCAAGATGCATTTACTACCCACAGCAGCAGGACAGCAATGCGATCTCTGTAGACATATACTCTGCACTTTATAAAGTAAGTGCTATTAACAATCATCATTTTTCTTTAAGCGCTTTACACACTTCACAGATGGTTCAGATGGGAAGGAGACCTTTGAAAGTCATATACAGTCTCCCTACGTGTCCTGACTACAAAAAATAAGACAGTGCTTACAAATTAAATTGGTTGTCAATAACATTCCCCCAAATGGCCCCTGGAGTCTGGAACGACTTGATGTTCCACAGCACCGGTTAGAGCTGAACGGCGTTAGAGTCAGCTCTTGCTCAAGTGTCAGCGTGTTTGGTGGATTTCAGTGAAGGGGCTGAAGAAGGAAGGGGTCCAGGGTAAATGAAGGTCTAGCATCAAAGTCCTGGCAGGCTTTCCTCACTCGGGGGGGGGGGGGGGTCGAGTGGGTGTGGAATAAAAAGCAGAAATGATGACCCACACGCTTTGGTAGGAGTTTTAATTTCATTCTGCTTCTGAATGACGGCAAAACCTTCAAAAACAACTTTCCTGGTTTATGCCATGTTCATTTATGTCTCTTACCCTTGTATGGCCCAGAGCGACTGGGGTAGGAGAGACGTGAAAAGAAGAAAAATATTTCTCCCCACCTCCCCTTCTTACCAAACGCTGAGAGTGCCATCCAGAAATTGCTAAAACAGAAATCTGCCAGGAGATTCAACTTGGTTCAACTAGATAGGAAGCCCACCCTTCGAATGCCTCAGACCATCGGAACTGTGGTCTCAACACTGTTCCCTCCGGATAGACAGCGATTATGTTATTTTGGTAAGTCTTTAAAAGTTTTACTTTTCATTACTTTAAAAGACCTGCACAAAAAGGAGCAGTCCCCTTTAAGGACTCTAAGGTCTATGTAAGGAACACTCGTGGCTTGAGAGAAATGACATTTTGGAAAAGCATTTCTTTAAATAATTAAGAGGCAGTTAGCACAACAGGTTGGGGATACGAATGACAGGAGGTCCCAGGATACGAATGGGCTGTGCTCCCAGGATCTGTGTGGCTGGGGGCACTCAGACCAGCTTCCCGCAGAAGCGGTGTCATTCACCGAGCTCTCAGAGAGCGGCTTAGTGTGCGCTGGGGCAGACGTACTGTCTCTTGCTGACAAAACCAGGATTATTTGCAATGACAGATTTGGTTAAACAAATGATTAATTAGAATCATTTCATGTTTCCTAAAAGCTAGCATTAAAGAGAAAACTATTTTAGTTATTTTGGCCAATGAGGAGACGGCTAGAAATTTGTGGACCTGAATGGACTTCGAAATTCCATGGCATGGACTTTTGCTGATACATAATTTGAAGCAAATAGCTTTTGTTTTCCCTGATGGAAATATGGTATTATTATTATACCATAATATATATATTATTATATATACCAGTCACTGGGGAGAGGGGAGGAACTACATATATCAAAAGGATTTTCTGTGAGATGACTGAGCAGGTTTTAAGAAAAAGAAAAGGGTTACAATATTGTTAAATATTTGAATGTGGAAGAGACTGCCTGGGTAGACTCCACTGATGTCTGAATGGTGGACAGCAGGGAAAAAAGGGAGAGAAAGGAGAAGTGAGGTGTGCGTCAAAGCTTTGGGAAGGGGAGATGGGGCACCCTCTGGGTTAGACGCTTCCCTCTCCACTGGTCACTAGGTGGCGCTGTTCACCCAGGACAGCTTAGCTGCGATTAGGAGCCAGTGTCCCAGGAGGGACAAGGCGGGAGGAATGTCTGGTCCTACAGCAGGATGTTTGCAAGTGAGGTGCTCCTCTCAGAAGATGCAGGAACTTTGAAACAAAGCTCAGCATCGCTAAATCAACGGAGAAATCCCAGAGCACCAGCTTACTTTGTCTTTGTCTTCATCTTAATAAAAATATACACCACGGAATTTAACATTTTACTGAACTATAAAGTTAATTCCTGTCTGCAGATAAAACCATCATTCCAAACCACGGTGACTCAAATACTAGAGGCAATGCTTAAAGTCTCACATGAACATCTAATGCAGTGGTTCTCAACCTTAGCTGCACATGAGAATCACCTGGGAATCTTTTTAAAATCCTGATTTCTGGGCCTCATCCTCCGGAAATTCTGTTTCTTTGTTACTAATGTTGTGGCCTCACCCCATAACAAAGAAACAGAATTTCTGGAGGATGAGGCCCCGAAATCAGGATTTTAAAAAGATTCCCAGGTGATTCTCATGTGCAGCCAAGGTTGAGAACCACTGATCTAATGAAATATTTTATGTTTATACGCTTAACCCCCCACTTGTAAATGCTTTTTGCAGTTGCAGTGGTGAACATTTAAAGTAACTGGAGTTTTAAAGTCAGTTTCCAGTCATCTCCGGTGGAAAAATGAGCTCCCTTCTCCCTTCTGGTGGGTACTCCTCCGAGTACAGGGCTAAGAAACCCTCCTTTAAGTACCCCAAATCCTTTGGTACCAAAGCCAACTCAGACACATCGGGGGAAGCTGTGGAATATTATTAGGCTCAACACTAAACTTGCTAGAATTCCTAACTCTCATTTCAAATTTTGGGAAATGTTATCCTAACTCATAGAGCTCATTCCCTAAAAGTTACCCGACATGGGGTTGTAATCGTGGATCACATCTGCATAGACCCTTTCTGGCCGGCTTCAACACTCCCCTTGCACAGGTGCTTTTAGAAGCTCTATCCGAGGCAGTGGCCATGCTGGTCTGCTCACCTGTGGTGCGCTGTCCTGCTTATCTTCAGTTTGCCATAAGGACTTTGGCCAAGGACCTGAACTGATGGCCAATTTAATGTCATCCACAGGCACGTGGCATTCGTTGCTAGTGGTGGGAGGGACTAAGACAAGCTAGGATCTAGTTGTGTCTCTCGGGATTTTCTGGCAATAAATCCGGAGCTCACTGTCCTTTCTTGGTGAAGTAAAGCAACGGAAAGCTTACAGATGGTAGTGAGACTAGACAATCCCACCAGGACAACCGACACGGGCTCCCCACTCCCCGAAGTCCTTACAAACAGATCTGATTCCTTAGCAGCGACAATGCAGCAACAGCATGATTTTTAAAAATGTCTATAACCACTGAAGCTATTAAACTTACCGGTTTCCCAAACTCCAATTCCGAAAAGAATTTATACCAAGGTTCATTCTTTAAATCTATCTCTTCTGGGCTTATATCCCGACTCTATAGGGGTTGGTGACAGGGAAATGGAAGAGAGAGAAGGATAACATTATGCAAAGATTACATAGGAACAGGCCAGTAGAGATGCAGTGGTTTCCAGATATATACAGAACTGCATTCAATAGCAGCAATCACCCGTTTCCACGGACACTGGCAACATCATGGAGCTAAAACAGATGGGGAAGGACATGTTTATAGAAACAGGGCCCCCGAGCGAGGGACCAGTGGGCGCATCACGCTCAGTCCCAAGGCAGGAGGATGGAGTGTGGACGGGGAACTCTGCACACACTGCTGCCCCCCACAAATACGAATGCGGGGATAGCAGTATTTCCATATTGTGGGAGAAAAGAAGGACCTCATCTCCTCTTCACCAAGAACTATTAGTTATGAGCAAATAACCTGGTGAGCACACCAAACATTTAGCCACTTATGCCAGGTGAGTAGAGCAAACAATTTTTACGGGCTAGTACAGTTTTAGTACTTATTTGCAAGGCTGCCTTAAGGTTTTCAAAATAAACGCAAATTTTGACACTTTTATCCAAGCCAATTTGTTAATACTGCATCTTTAATGGCACATGAGTAGGTGAGAAACCATGTCCCTTACACAGTAAAGTGAAAGATGATATAAGTAACAACAGAGGACACGAGTGAAAAAACATCTTAAACAAGCTCCCGAGGGGATGGATACAGATAGAATATACTTTATGTTCTAACAAGTAAATGTTAAAGAGCTGGGAAAACTAAAGCGAGGGAAAAGCTGAACACGACAGATAGCAGAACAGGGGAGGGAAAACTTCTGGGTTATGTTACAAAAATAAGTTAGATTTCCCACTTTATAGAATTCTCAGAGGTAGTTCACAAAGAGTGATAATGGACCCCAGGGGATTTCATATTTAATCAAGTATTTATAAAGTCCTAGTACCTTGCTGTGGAATAACGTGTGTTTCTGGCAATAATTAGTTAAAAATGAATGCCTGGAAAGCAAATCATGTTTCCCCTTAATAAACTGGAGATATGTTCACAGCAGACAAAAGTGTTAGAGGCTCATGGCTTAATTAAATTCCAATTAAATTCATACATGTCTATGTTTCAAAAAACCTTGATAGTCACAAGGGGGGGGGACTTTCTGGTAACAGTATGAAATATGAAATGTTTTGTAAGCAACGTCACTCCCTCAGGTCCCAGCACAGCAGGAGGGGCTGCGGGCTGTGGACTCCTCAGTGCGCCTGCTCCCAAGCAGCTCCCCCGGACTCGGTTCTCCTAACGTTCAGGCCTTTGCAGCTTGTAGGGATGCTGCACCCGTCTCAGTGACCTTCACCCATCTCCTCTTCTCAGATCCTTAGAAGAACCTTTCTATTATTCCTATGTTTGTTTTATTTTTTTGCAAGTATAATAAAAATATTTATTTCCATCAGAACTGTCACTGTAATTTTTTTCCCTACATTTGTTTTAAATTGAGGAAGATATGACAGAGAACGTTCCTTTAACTGAAATTCACTGACTATACGTTAGTTGAAACCAGAGGGAAATGTCCAGCTTAAAACCTCCCCCACCGTCTTTAGGGACTTGGGCTTAAATCGTGAAGGAGACGCGGTGCTCCTCCTCAGTGGGCTCTGTAACCATGTAAAAGAATGGATTCTGTGTCTCTTCAGGGAGATGAGGCCCGGTACCCATACTCTTCAGGAGAAACAGTTAAGGCATTGGGACATCCTAGGTCCTTATATGATGGGGTTTCATGAAACCTATTTCATGTTTATTATTTTTAGAGACTATTTATAAGCTGCTCTCTGGGAATAGGTTAGGCTTTTTTTTTTTTTTTTAAATAAAATGTACCAACTCTTTCAGGAAACTGCCTGAATGCTTTGGTACTTGGTCCTGAAAGAATTAACCCATTTTATCGCTGAAGGCTGTTGGCAAAGTGTCCCACGGCTGAGGCAGCAGCCTCAGTCCCTCGAGCTGTCCAGGAAGTGAGCGGTAACACACACAGTGCTGCCGTCTGCGTTTGACTGGGCCATGCGTAACTCAGCTGCCGTCTGCGTCTGACTGGGCCATGTATAACTCAGCTGTCCATCGGTGGTGGGACGGACAAACAGCACAGATCCTTCCGGACGCACAGCAGGATCCCGGGACGGCAGGCAGGGCAGGCTCCACAATGCCAGGCTCAGGGCTCTCGGCCGGGCTCCTCTTTTCCCAGCTGGCAAAACCCTTGGAAAGGGCGGGTGCCTTGCCAGGAAAATGCCTGATTCTCCTCAAGGACAGTTTTGTTGCTTGAATAGGAGCCAGAGACCAGCTTCAACTTTTAATTAAATAGTAATCTGAATGCGGTACGTTCATTGGCACAGCACTTCATAATGTTCAGGGTTCTTTTGTCCAGATTCTTGCCCTCAATCCTCTCACTCATGACCTCAGTTCAGGCCAGATAATACTTCTGGTTGAGATGAAAACACCGAGGTTCAGAAAGGTTAAAGGACCTGCTCCGAAACATGAACTCAGAACTCGGTCTTCCAAGTCCGGGTGCTCGTTAGCCACATTGCACTTCTCCCACTCCCCACGAGGAGGGGGCGGGCCCACTCAGTTTGCAGATGATACTAAAACGGGGCTAAGTGACAGACCTGAAAAGCCAGGGAGGAACTCAAAGTGACCCTGAACTGGGAAAAAACCAAATTGAGAAAATCCCCTCATTGTACACTTGCAAATATAAGTTGTGAAATGACTACGCCAGTGTCTCTCCTTCCCACTCCTCCCCCAACATCTAACCCAGGGCTTGGCATATAAAAGTTATTCTCTCTGTACTTGTTGAATTGAGTCAAAGTCCTGTAAGGGGCTGGGAGGAAAGTAAAAGGGACAAAGCCTGAAACGGCTATTCTTGACCAAGCAGGGACTGACCAATATCTCCAATCCCAAGGCCAGAAGAGGAGGAAGTGGATTCACACTACGGTAAGACAGGCCGAACAGTTATGAAGAACTTCATATGATCTTGCCAAGTAGCCGAGTAGCTCATCAAATCTGTGCGTCTCCTGGTGGGGTTTCTGAAGGTGGTATAGTGTTTTATTTATCTTGGTGGTTGGCATTTGCTCCAGGGAAAAAGATGAGCTCTAAGGCAGCCTTTACAGTCTGCCATTCAACCCTTCCTGCACACAGAGATAGGTGTGCCAATGAGGTCACAACTTAAATCGCCAGGCTTAAGCAGACACGACGAGTACCTCAAATTGGAAACAAAAGCATGGTTCCCCTACTCTCCCCTCCCTTCCCCAAAAGGAATTGTGTATTCCTGAAAGATTCTACACCTGTCGCTAGTTAGTATGCTCATCCACAGTTAGTGTGTGTGTGTGTGTGTGTGTGTGTGTGTGTGAGCTGGGGGTGGGAGTTTTGTCTTCAAATTCTGGCAAACCTGATGCAGGATGTCAAAAGGCAAGACTCACACACTGAAACCAACGTTTCAACTTTCCTGTTCAAAGATAGGTGAGAAAGAAATCAAACATAAAGGACTAACTTGACTACCGTGAAGAGTGGCTCAAAGATGAGGTTTGACTGAAATTTCTCTCTGAAACGAAGTCTCTGGAGGAAGAGCGCTGAGAGTGGAAGCTCTCGGATGCAATGTGATGGGCCCTCTGGAGCTACGTCCCACGACAGGATGGGCCTCGGTCTGGGCACAGCACAGGGGCTTCTGGGTAGGAACACAGATGGTGCTCTGCGATCCATGCGTGTGATCAGGGCAGGTCCCCAAAGAGGGCGCCTATGGGCTACTATGTGTTACTTCTCTGGGTTTGTAAACACATGGAAGATATTTATAACCACGGTGATATCAAGGAACGAAACAAAACTATGTTATTTTATTCCTAGTTCTGAATTGGTGGTCAAATTATTAGGAACTAAGGACAGGAGGGGAAAACAAGAAATTTTAGGGGCAAGGCTTCGAGAGAAGTGACCATCTGTAAATAGTAATACTGCCAAAACAATGCACCCAAAGGCCTACACAGACTCTGAGATGGTTCACGTGCACTGATATGTGACGGCGTGTCCTGACTTGTTATTCCAGTGTCAGGAATATACCCAGAGCATGACTTTCTCTCCTGGAACACCTGTGGGGAAGGTTACCTAATGAGGTTATCATCTTCTAACACGGAGAGAGCCTCCAGTGAAGGGTGGAGCCACAGGCAACATTCTCCGCTCCTCTCTGAACTTTTTGCTTAAAATAGCTGCAGTGCACAGAAAATGCTGAGGAATGACAATCGGGAGCATGTCTGCAGGCTGCTTTATCCTAATTAAAATTACTGATCCCTTTGTGCTTTCAAAGATGTCAAACTTTTATCTTCGTCAAAGTGAAGTCAATCGCTCCTGAAAATCACGTGGCACGGGAGAGGCAGAGGGAGAAGAAGGCGCCCCCATACCTCAGGGGTTACTTGCTCTGTGCTCAGTGTGGTAACAGCATTTTAATACAATCCAGTTCCCAGCATGACAGCTCCATCCTGCAGGCCCGGCGGAGGCTGCGGTGGCACGGAGCTTTGGAGAATCCCTTTAACCATGATCAGAATTCTGAACCAGCTTTTTCAAAGGAAGGATGGATAAAAGGAAGTGTGATGGGCAGGTAGGAAACTGATGGGTTTGTACAAATCCTTCCCCGTTTCACAGAAGAGGCCGCTTTTCCAGGGTGGTCTGCTCTGCCCCACAGGCCACTTCCCCACTTAGAAGAGATGTGAACCATAAATCAGACTGACTATGAAATTCGTCCTCGATACTGCACATGTCGGAAAAGGAAGACCTAAAACACATGTTTTAACAGCCTGGGGCTTTCCCCCCTCAAATCACAACATCGTCTTAATTACTTTAGCTTTTAGTGATGTACTAGTAGTACCTTCTACAAAATTTATGCATGTTCAAATAGAGGCACTTAAAAACACACACCACGAACTTAGTCCAGTTAGTAATAAGCCTGCCAAATCAATGGTTAGATGTTTAAAAAAAGACAGCAGCAAAATCAATCTTTATGTTAATAGAAAATTCTAAATTAGTTAGAACCATGCACAAAAAGCGCCAGAAAGCCACAAGACGAGCTTCTTTCAAAGCAGACTCTCAGGACTTATGTTACGAACACCTGCAAAAATGAAAAGGGTAAAAATACTTCATTTTTTCATTGTCTTCTAAACAAAGCAAGTCTATCTCAATGAGGAAGAAAGAAGGGGATGCAAGTGCACAATGCATCCGGATCAAAGAACACGATAGGGTGAGACAAAGGGACTTTAATATCCACATTACCATCTTTTCGTTGTTCAGGACGGAAGACCTGCCCGGCTGGTACTCGTATATGCTTTTGGGCTCTGCACGGTATTTCCTTGTATCCACTTTCTTATCTGGGGGCTCCCAGTCGTTTCTGTAGAAAGAAAATCCTATTAGAGCTGTTTTCATGAAAATTGGCATCCAACATGTTCTGACTTTAGCTGACTGTAGTCTAATCAAGGAATTTTTAAATCCAAAGCATAAAATCGGACTCGGTGCAAAGCATTTAGTTGTGCTGGTTCCCTTCTCAAAACCACCAGTTAAAGCTCTGGATTTGCTTCACAAAAGGCCTAAGGTACCAGGAACCAGGTACCAGGAAGCAGAGAAGAGAGGGAGGCAGGAGGGAAGCACAAAGCTTGCTCTGCTCTCCTGAGCTTATCATCCCCCAAACACTCCTGCACTTCCCACTCATGCTTGTACAAGGAGAGAGAATGCAGGTCCTGGAGCCAGTCAGCTGTGGTTCCAATCCCTGTGACAGTACTTGCTCGCTGGTGATCCAGGCTACATACTTTACCTCTTGCTACCTTAGCTTCCTCATCTGAAAAATGGGGTTGTTGCAAGGATTAAATGAGACAGTGCATGTAAAGCACCAGGTCCACAGTAACCACTCAGTAAATGCTATTTGCTTTATAACCGTGCTGTTTCCTATTCCACACTTCACCCCAGTAATCACCCAAATTGCAGCCTTTGGCACACAAATTCGACCGGATCCAGTGGTGGGTTTCAGAGGAGATGAATCCCTGAAAATTGTTTGCAGAGTTTTTATGCCCGCACATGACTGCCTTTGCACTGTGATTATATTTAGTTTTTGCTGCAAGGCAGGGATGATGATTTATATATGCTTATATTCCCCCACAGCACGTGGTCCCGTCTGCACACAGAACGCACCCAGTTTGATGAATGCCATTGCAAAGAATTTATAGGCAGACTCAACCTTCCTTTCAAATTCATTATCAAACTCCTGAGGCAGATGCCACTTGTGCATGTGTGGGACTTTCAAAACAGCTATTCAGTTGTCTACGAAGATGGAAAAGGTATGAAGGTGTGAAACTAAGTGTGTTTTTCAGGAAAAATAATTCATTTTGGCAAGAGCCTCTTTTGTGTTGAGAAGCAGTGGGAGATGCGTGGGACACCAGTCCAGATGGCATAAGAAGGATGCTCCATGGGCATCGTAACCCAAGGAAAGAATACTGGGTCATTCCGTGCGGGTGTCAAGACATGACTAACGTCATCATTACAGCCAATCCATGCCTATGTCTCAATAATATGTACTGTGCAAATAAACTGATATTAAAAAGTGTAACTTCATGTTAAAATTATATTCTCTGCTACGGGCTCCATCAGTAAACACAGGGAGTATAAAAACACATGACAAAGCTTACAGCTAAGGTTTCTCCTGTGAGAAGGTAAAAAGTGATGAGTTATAGCCAACGTGAATTAAGCCCATACTTGGCCAGGCACTGAGAAATGTTATACGCACTACCTTGTCTTGTCCTTGCAACACCCCTGACAAATGTAAAATGTGTCCCCATTTATAGATAAGAACATGAACTCTGAAAGAAAAGGTCGCTGCTAACACAGGACAGAGAGGGACTCCAGGTCAGGTCTGCCCGACTCCTGGCCCCACGGCTGCTGCCCAGCAGCGAGAGGTGGGACCTGGCTGCCACACTGCGTGGCAGCCTGAAGTCACAGTGGGTCGGGGAGAAGGAGCACTTACCTTTCTGGGCTTGATTTCAGTGAGGAAGAGCGGGCCGGGAGGGGAAGTGTGGCTGACCGCTTAACTACCTTCTCACCGTCAATGTAGCTCATCTCACTTTTTGAGCGAGGCACAGAGAGGGGAGATTTTGCTGGGGAAGAAAAGTGGGTACAAAAGACTTAAAACTGGTGAAAGCAGGAACTAGGAAGAGGCTTCCCCTTATCCAATGCTCCCTCTTCCTCCCCATGCTCAGGAAATTCTGTCACTTACTGTCTTCAGAAAAGGAGTATCGAGGAGAGTACAGATCTGAATCATCATCTGGTGAACAAAACAAAATGCAATCAGGAGAAATCCGGCCGAGGCAGGAGAACGAGCGCCCTGTGCCCACTCCCGCCGACCTGCACGGCCTTCCAGCCACACCAGGGGCCCATGGAGGGGAAGGAGCTAAGCGAGAGGAGCCAGGTTTGCAGAGCCACCCACCCAAACAGAACCTGCAGGCCGGAAGGTACAGTCACGTGGCCTGGGAGATGACCACTGTCTGACACTAAGAAAAGCATGGGGACAAGTAGCCAAAGGGCCGTGGGGAGAGTTTCCACAAGCAGAGCTGGAACAGGGGCCCCGCCTGGCTGAGCTGGAAGCAGGGGCTGAGATACCTCCCTGGATGCTCACCCCGAGTCTCTGGTCTAGCCTGCAAGGTCCTCGGAGTCCCCCAGGCCCGCTCCTGGGTGGGGTTGTCAGGGAAGAGGTGTTTTCTAGCTCCCCACCTCAGCTGTGACCTGTTTTATATGCTAAGGTTCCCTATACAGTATCATTTAGCAAGCAGACTCTGCAGCTAAAAGAACAGTTGGAGAAAACCCCCATATCGTATTTTGATTCCACCCGACCTGGTTCCTCAAGGCACTTTTTTTTCTTGGGATGTAACACACCCATGGCAGGTGCGGTTATGCGGTTTGCTCCGCAAAGGCGCTGCTCGGGGCGAGTGTCTAAACTGGGCTCTGGAATAAGTCAGACTCCCAGGGGTTTCTGTAGTGCGAGATGCCCTCCGAGGGCACGACACGTCCCTAAAGAAGCTGGGCACTGGGCTCTCAGACTTGGGATCCGAGATAAGATCTGAACCCTCGTGCAAGTGGCTGCACTGCACTAACACTGAGACTACAGGCGCACTTACAGGGACAGATTTCACAACTCGGAGTGTCCTGAGAATGTCAGGTATTTGGTCACTATCCCCGCGATGACCCCTCCAAAGTGTTGAAACAGTCGGCCTTTCCCATTTTCTGAGGTCTCGCTAACCCAAACTCAGGATTCGTGAATGTGGACTGAGACCCAATACCTTCCCTTCAAATCTTAGCAAGTTTACAAAACACATGAACTAACCAGAAAAGACAAGTCAAAGAATCCAGTACATGTTAATGACTAAGTGTTAATCAAGTCTTTGTCACTATAAAAATCATTTTTAGTCTCAGAGTAGTACAGGCCATAATATTTTGTGCAATGTAAATAAAGCTAAAACAGCTGTTATTGTGAGTCAAGTATTCTGCAAAGGCAGCCTCTCTTCCCCCACTTCTTACTCCCTTCCCCTCTCCCCATTTTTATCTGTCCCAGGTCTTCCCTGCCGCCCCCGCCCCCGCAAATAAAGAAAAGCCATCAGGTACCAAGTTATCTCCCCCACCTCCTTCCCCATCCCTCTCTCTATGTTAAGTCTAGGATTAGTCAACATCAAAGTCGAACAGGGCTTAAGGTTCCTTCTATCAACACAGCCAAGCCTTTCCCTACTATAAACTGAGCGGGTGAGTGTCGTTAACTTTTGAGAACAGGCCAGAAGAGATAAAGTGGCATCTGGAAATATATATTTTGAAGAATTTTGTTTTAAACAGAACTTCTGATTACTGTACTGATAAAATGCTATGATGTCAAAGAAAACTAAAAATCAACTTTGATTGGAGGCATTTGACTGGAAAAATCATGCATGTCAAATGAAAAAATTAGCCTAGTTGGGAGCCAATGTACACAGTGCTTAAAATCCAGTCTAGCATTTTAGCTCAAAACTCTGCATCTCTCTGAACCGTGGAGAATTACAGCCTTTCTGTAACTGGTAACGTGAGGGTTAATTCCTATTACCTGTTCTTGAGGTAAGAAGCAAATGGGGAAGAAAAAGGCACTTAAAGATTCAAAGAAAAAATTTTAAAAACCCTGAGATCTTCAAAAATATTTTCTCTCTAGAGCTTTCTAATGTGGATTTCTAGAAGATTCTTTTTCTAATTTTTTTTCTAGTCCTCACCTGAGGATATGTTTAGAGGGAGGGAGAGAGGGAAAGAGAGGAAGGGAGGAAAAGGGAAAGAGAGGAAGGAAGGGAGAGGGAAAGGGGAGGGAGGGAGGGGGAGAGAGAGAGAGAGAGAGAGAGAGAGAGAGGGAGAGAGAGAGAGAGAGAGAGATTACTCCCACATGCAGCTTAACCGGGGATTGAACCCACAACCTAGGTATGTGTCCTGACTGGGACTTGAACCTGCAACCTTTTGGTGTATGGGACAATGCAATAGAGCTATCCAGCCAGGGCTAGAAGATTTGTTAACAGAAAATGAGAAATAGTTCTTATAAGATGAAAGGAATAGCTTGGAGTGTTAAACAATTTATGTATTTTGAAAAGCAGAAGTAGGAAAGATGGGGGTGAGGGCAACAGAGAAAATGAATGAATGATGTTCTTGAAGCTATTTCTTATTTGGTGCAGGTGGGGAAAGAAACCTCGCCCACCCAGTGGTCATGGGATCCAAGTCTGGCATGTGGATTTCAGTTCATCAAACCTTTAAGAGGGAAAACTGAAGTTGTACTAATTCATCTGAATATCCAGGGTACATATAATCTATTCTTTAAATTTTTATGTTAGTCTTGCAAAACGAATGGAAGAAAATTTTACCCGTGCTTATGAGTAAAAATAATAGCAGCTCCCATTATTAAGTGCCTAATAACAGCCAGTAATGTACTAGTATCATCTCATTTAATCTCTGCAATAGGAGATACATAAATATCTCACATACAGACAAGGACATTAAGGCCCAGGGAGGTCAGGAAATGTGCCTGGAGCCTCGCAGTAAGAGACAGAGCATGTCTTTCTGACTTCGCTTCCCTGGGCCGCCTCTAAGCCCTGAGATAGGGATGGGTGCCTTGTGCTGAGTTCACCCTCCCTAGCTGCCCAGTCCCGGGGGAACTGTGGCCATTCCTTTATAATTTATATCATGCAAGAGACAAGGGAGAGTGTTGTTCTGCGACTCAGTCCTGCCTGCGTCCTGGCCTGCCTCCCAGCCCTTGAGGCCTTTGCTCTGTTTTTCTGCATCGTCCCCTCCCTGGTGACACTTAGGCAAGTTTGCTGCGTTACCCCATCACTCTTCAGTTTTCCTCCTGCTGGTCTCCAGGGACACGGGCAAAACCGAGTCACTGTTGCTACATCTCCCGCTTGCTGCTTCTCGCTCTCCAGCCCTGGCAGGCTAAGTCCACACTGGGGTAGAGGGGTATGAAGTTCAGAATGGCAGTGAATGGGAAAACTGGTTACCTGTCTGTATGTCTATACACTAGGGTTAGCCAAAAGGAGACAGAGAGAGACAAAGAGGTAGAGAGAGAGAGAGAGAGAGAGAGAGAGAGAGAGAGAGAGACAGGGAGAGAGACAGAGACCCATAGAGACACAGAGAGATGGAGAGACAGAGAGAGAGTTAAACCACAGTCCAGATACATTAAATAAAACATTTCGCAAATTGTCCAAGAACATGGACATTGTCAGTGTCTGAAATCCTGCCTTTACTCTTTCTTTAGGGTCTTTTTTTGTTTTGTTAACCCTCACCTGAGGCTATTTTTCCCATTGCTTTTCAGAGAGTAGAAGGGAAGAAGGGGGAGGGGGGAGGGGGAGAGAGAGAGAGAGAGAGAGAGATCAATGTGAGAGAGACACATCAATTGGTTACCTCAGGACGTGCTCCTGACTGGGACTTGAACCCAGGAACCTTGGGTGTACAGGCCGACACTCGAACCACTGAGCAACACCGGCTCGGGCTCTCCAGGGTTTTTAAAATGATGCCATAGTGGGCCGAGCTGAGCCGGGATCCTGTGATTCTCGCTCGTGGTGGAGCCACATGCTGACTGTGCCCCTCAAAGCTGCAAACATCAAACCTTGGCAGCAACGCTCAGAACTTCCTGTGCCAGCCACTTCCAGGAAGCTCTAACACTGAGGGGATTCACCGGGTGAACAGCTCACTCCAGGGTCCACGGACCCTGCTGGGCTCTGATGTCCACACACCCCCGACTCCACTCTGGGCTTTGGCAGTCTGTCCTGCAGCCGCATCTGGGAACAGCTACTCCCTTACACTGCCAGGAGGCACATAATTGCCTTTTCAACCACAGTGACTTTAAAAATGAACTTCTAAAAAAAGACTTTCTTGGAGAATTAATGACAATCTTAAAGACACTGGAAAAAGTGCTAGTTGAGAACGATTGTTCTATAAAAATTATGTAATTGACCAAAATGGGATGGGCCAAAAGCAGTATTTGCATAATCACTTGCCTATATCAATTAAGTTTCAATTTTATGCATTTCTTAGACCTTGAAAAGTTCAAATTATTTCTCAATATCAACAGCTTGTTTTAACAGTCTTTTTCCACTGCTCAAATTAATTCTTTCTCCTACTTGAACCCACACACTTAGGAAGAAAGAAGATAAATGGGTCACAAGAGAGGACACACACCTCCAGCAAAAAGATTCAAAGAAGAAGAGAGACCTAGTCTGGGTGGAGGGAAGAGGAAGAATTTACAAGATAGGAAACGGGGCAAGTTGGTCAGTAGCCCAGGGAGCTTGGGGGAAGATTCCTCAAGCTGCCTAGGTCCCCGTTAAAGGCAATCAAATTTTAAGGGGTGAACAAAGATCAATACAGGGTGTAGAGTAGCTATAGAAGACAAATTCGGGGGAAAAATAGAATCTGAAGGAGGGGGAACAGGAAAGGAGAGAAAGCTGGGGAAAGACTCACCACCTCATCTCCTGGGCATTCCTGGCCCTTGAAGGTGGGAAGGGAGTCCGCCACTGTCTCACCAGCTTGCGGCTGTCAAAGACTCCCGTGCTTGCTAGGCGGAGGCCTCGGGCAGCTCTAGCTAGGAGAGCAAAGGTGACCACGGGGAGCGGCTCAGCCCCTCCTCTGGGCAGTACTAGCTGGAGTTTGGGGCAGGAGGCACGGATCCTGGCCAGGCATCTTCACAATAGAAGGATTTGCTTGAACTCAAGCAAAATAAGGCTATTCTTAGAAATCCTGTAAGGCCAGCAGGGGATTATTTTAACTCAAATATAG